GGAGGGGGGAGGAGCCACACCACTCATGAGGGACAGAGCTGGGACCCACACCCCAAGTCCCCCACTCTTTCCATCAGGTTTTATGCTGATTTGGCTCTGTGGGGAGGCTCAGAACCTTGGGGTTCAGTTGCCCGTGTTTGAGGGTCTCGGGGGGGGGAGGGAGGCGTAGGCATTCCATGGAAATGCAGGTTTGGATTCAGCAGGTCAGGGGTAGGGCCCAGGAATCAGCAAGTCAGCATGCTCCCAGGAGGTGCGATCCTACTACCCCATGGGCCACACTCCAGGAGCGGGCAGTGTGACCCTGCAGGGGGCCCCTTCCCTCTTGGGACCTCAGCATGCCATCTGGACAGAGAGGAGCCCAGGCAATTTCAGTGTCCAGCGCCCTTCCGGCTCTGGTCGTGAGGTCTTGACCTAGCACAGCTTCTCAGTTCTGGGTATAGGCAGAGGCTCAGGTGTGGGCAGGTCCGGCCCGTGAAGCCGGGTTCAGTTCAGGTCCAGCTAACACATCCAGTGTCAATGGGGAAGCCTGGCTGAGTCGGGCCCAGAGTGTGCCCGTGGCTCTGGGCAGAAGCCTCTGAGAGGTGGCACCGGGGCCCTAGGCCCACAGCGAGGTGCTGCAGCCAGCAGGAACCCCTCTGGCCCTGGTGGTTTACTACCCACAGGGCAGCTTTAATGTAGCCAAGTGAGGTGCTGACCTTCCCAGAGGGCAATGGGGCACACACTGTGGTGGGCACAAGCCTGGCTCAAAGTTCCCAGGGTCCCAGCGCCTAGTACTGGCATCCTTGTTGTTGTCTGGCTAGCTAGGTGATGCTCAGCTACCTGGCCCTTTGACCTGCCTCCCATTCTTCCTGGCCTGGCCCTCCCTGTTCCCTGTGACTGCAGTAACCCTACCCTTGAAACTCCTACCCACCTGTCAAGCCCCAGCTCAGGGGAGGGGCCTGTCTGGGCAGGTGGCTCTGCATTGTAGGTCCTGGGTGAGGGAGGACTTAGCAAGGGTGTGTTGACTGCCTGTGGGACTGACTGACTGGCTGACTGAGGACTGATCTCCAGCAAAGGTTCCAAGGGACAAGGCTGAGTAAATCCCCCACCACTGCCCAGCACCTATTCCTAGTCCTCTACTCCATGCCAGCTCAGGGATGTCACCTGGTCTCTGGCCCTGCCCCCTGAGCACCTCCTGAAAGCCAGAGCTGGATGCACACTGTGAGGAGCCTTCAGAGATCACCCCTCTGGCTCCCTTTCCCAGGGGACCCCTTGTTAGGAGGTCCAGGCTGTGTGTAGAGGGCTGAGCTGGGAGGTGCAGGCTCCCACCCCAGGCTCTAGCCTGACAGAGCCCCCCTTGCTTGCTGACCTGTGCCTGCCTCCTTGGGTGGTGGACATCGGTGAGGCATGACAAGCCAGAAGGAAGGTGCTCTGTCAGGTGCTTTCAGACACAAGGTCAGGGGTTCCAGGCCAGGGGGACGGTGGTCCCAGCACATTGTCCTCCTGTAGCCCCGTCAGCTGGGTACCCTCGCATGCTGGGTGGCGGGTGCCAACCCTTAGCTGATGGCAGTCCCTCCTTTTTCCAGAGCCCCCGAGGCCCCTGGCTCACCTGTGCCGGCTGCGGGTACGAAAGGCCATCGGGAAATACCGGATAAAACTCCTGGACACGCTGCCACTGCCTGGCCGGCTGATCAGATACCTCAAGTACGAGGACACCCAGTGATCGGGCTATGGGGGTCTTGGAGTGGCACCGGTTTGTCTTTGCTACGTCTTGGGATGCCAGTGTCCCCGAGCCCAAGAGGGCTTGGGGACAGTTGAGGCTGCAGGCCCAGCGGCGTGTCCTGCTCTTGAAGGGTCTCTGGGCACGAGCAGAGGACGAATCCAGTGGCAGAACATTTGTTCCTGACCCAGTGAGATCCCAGACCTCTGCCGTGGGCACTGGCGGAGACTTCTGGTCCTGGGGCAGGTCCTCTGGCCCCCCAACTTGGCTGTAGAACGGTTAAGGGCGAGCCTACCTTCCTGGGACAAGCCTCTCTGGGGGCTCTTCCCCCCTCCTTGGTGACGCCCTTCACCTGACTCTTTAGGGTTCTCCTGCAGACAGACCCTGCCCTCCCAACCTCACCCCTTCCCCCAGCCCCACAGCCTGTGGCCCTCAGGGAGTGGGGGCGGGCCAGGGGTGGGAGGCAAAGATGAGTTACCTTTGCTTGAATGAACCCTTCACCCAACAGGAGAGCACGAGGGCGGGGGTGGGGGTGGGGGTGTTTCTCACTGGACTCCATTGTCATGGAAACAGAAGCTTACTGGCCGGAGGAGTCTGGGGCCCACCAGTCTCCCCCAGGGACAGCCCTGCACACCCGTGTTCCTGGCACTCTGTCTTCCTCTTCTGCTCCCTCCTGTTTTGCTACAGATGTGAGACATGGGGCTGGAGGTGGGGCCACAATAAAAACCTTGCACATGTTTCTGGGAGCAGAGGGGTTGGTGTTGAAGGGGTGGCCCCTGCACCCTGCAGAGACGCTAAACTTGGCTGCGTCCACAGCCTGTGCCCTCCAAGGTCTCCTTGGTGGTGGTAGTGGGGGAGCACACACGAGGCTGCACAGAGCAAGGTCCGGCCCCGGTGTGCTGTCACATTTCTATAGAAACTGCAGTGACTATAGAAATCCCGGGTCGGTGGTTTCTCAGCAGGCCACCTCACTGAGGCCATGCAGGGCTCAGACCTGGTTGAGCTTTGGCAGGGGCTGATCTGGGCCCTCGAAGGCGGGAGGGACCAGTCTGGCCCTGCCAGACCACCAGAGGCTGCTGGCGGCTGGTTCTGCCTCAGGGTAGCAGGCGTGGTGCTGGCTGCCACCTTGTGGTCTTGCTGGTGCCGACATGCTGGGCGCCCATGAGAAGGAAAATGCCCACTATACCCCAGGTCAGAGGGGGCTGGATACGCAGGGAGACAGACAGGTCCAGAGGCAGGAAGGGGGGAGCCTGGCCCTGCGTGCAGCGTCTGGATATGCCCTCAGGCTCCTCTGCTGCAGACCTGGCTGAGCTCGCAGGGTTCTTGCCCCGCTGTCTGGGTGCTCAAGCCCGAGCATGTTAGCATGCCATGCTCAGCTCTGGTCAGGCAGACACGCTGCAAGTGCTGGCTAGTGCAGCAGGGCTGGTGGGAGGGCAGACGGGCTGGCCTGGGATTATTGGGGGGGAACGGGGCGGTCAAATGGGTATCTAACTGACCACCTTATAGGTTCAGGTTCTGTCTGTCTGCGGCCAGGTTCCCCATCTGCCACACCAGGTTTAGGTCTGGGAGGTAGGGGGGAGAGGGCCCTACCCCGGGTGGGTGGGAGGTGGTCCTGGGAGGAGGTCCAGCTGAAGAGGTAGGTGGGAGGCTCGGCATGGTCACTACCCTGTCCCTGGGCTGGGCTACGCTGCTATCACCTTTGGGTCCTTAGAACATGGACCTTCGGCCAGACCACGTGACAACAGGCATTGTGCAGGGCTCTGCCCAGCCTGGGGTTCTAGGTCTCTGACCCCACCTCCCCACCACACAGTTCCCCAAAGGCTTACTGCCCACCCTGGGCCCCTGGGCTTGCCCCTGTGGGACTCAAGCAGCTTGTCCTCTACTTCAACCAGCACCCCCGCCTTCCCTAGGAGCCCTCCCCCCACCTGGCTCTTCCCCTTTCCCTGAGAGGGTGGGCACTCAGAGTCTGGCAGCCCCACTTCTGGGCAGGGGCAGGCACCCCACCAGTGAGACCAACGCCTTGAGCAAGAGGTGTGTGCGGGGAAGTTTGGGGATCTGCTGCTCTAAGTGAGGCGATGTTTTTAAATCCCAAAGCTCTTTTGTGTGTGTGTGCGTAGTATGTGTATATGTGTGGTGTGTGTAATGTGTGGTGTGGTGTGTTTATGTGGTATGTGTGTACTGTGTTTTCATGTGTGGTGTGATGTAGTGTGTGATGTGTTGTGTAGGGTGTGTGTGTGTGTGTGTGTGTGTGTGTGTGTGTGTGTGTGGTGTATGTATGGCCTGCCCCTAATCTCTGACTGGGTGTGCCCACCTTCCTGTGGCTCGGTGAGTCATTAGGAGTGCGGGCTTGTGGCAGGATGCCCTCCCCCCCTCCCCCCCCCCCCCCCCCCCCCCCCCCCCCCCCCCCCCCCCCCCCCCCGTCAGAGCGGGGGTGGGGGGTGGACTTGTGATGTCATTAGGAGAGTGCAGGTATGTGGTGAGGGAAGGTGAGGAACTTGGTCCAGATCACACAGCTTGTAGGCATCTGGGTGAGCCAGTCCAGGGCAGGGCTCCTAATTCTGGGCCATTAGGAAGGACCCTAAAGAGCTGCCTGGGTGACACCAGAACTGTTTGAGACTGCCGCTCTTACTTGAGGACCCCCTTCCCCATCCTCTCACCCCATGGACCAGGTCATCTCTCAGGACAGCTCTGCCTGTGGCGCATTGGCCTCCATGGCTCTAGAGTCACCAAGGGCATTGGACTAGAACCTGCCGGCCGCCCTGTGAGCAAGCAGCCCACCCACTTGACTCCCCACTCCAGGGAATCTCAGAGCAAAACCAAGGTGGTGGGGTGGGGTGGGTGGGCTCCACC